CGGAACTAACCTTTGGCGCAGCGCGCCCACCACGAGGTTGCTATGTTTGGCGGCAACAGCTTCTGCGGTGCTGTCGCCTGAACTGATTCATGGCCAGTGCTCGCATCATGCACGATGCATGTGCAAACACAGTGTACATGTCCATGGGCCCGTACACGAGGTACGCTGTGTACGACAAGTACCACAGCTATTAGAAGTGCACCGTCGTGTTTGTCATGCACGACCAGTTCATTACGCGGAGCTCCCGACAGGCCGCTCCACAGCAGCCTGTGCCGATGCACGGTACGTGCGCTGACTACAGCGCATACGCTCCGAGCAACATCGGGTCGTGGTATGGCGCAGCCCATTTGCACCCATGCCAGTGTCTGTCATAGACACCATGTACCTTGGTGGTACTCGACCGTGGTGGGGTGTATCTCAGCATCATGTCACTGCGGCGTTGGTGTCCAGCATTGACACCGAGTACTCATGCGGTACCGAACCATGGTGAGGCAACTATTACCACGGTGTCATGGCCGGCGCGGCACCAGTTACGACTGCGTGCGTTGCCTCGACAACCACCTCGTCAGTTGTGTGTGCACTCGTGCACCACACTTGGGTTATAGGGTCCACGGTCCATTCTACCCGCCGCGTTGCGTACATTACGTACTGCAACCGCTTTGTCAGCGGGTGAGACTTTTCGCTCAACCTGCTCGACAGGTCATTCATGACCAAGGGACCTATGCGCTGATTGCACCACGTCCACGCTTCGCCTCGTGTGTGGTTGATTGCAACACAACACTGCTAATTCGCTCAGCGATTCCGAGGCAACTAGCGCCAGTGGATTCCGTCGCTACGCTGGCTTGTTTGGCTCGAGCTATCGTAGCTCTAGCCCGTCTGTATACCTCTAGCCTGCGGTCGATGTAAATCGACGCCTGTATCCGTAAGAAACTTGGTATTACCTTAAGACCAGGGACGAAAGGTATTTCTGAGCCTCTCTTTCACTTACACTTGGGATTATTGAGGCTTTCGTGGCTTGTGATAGCCACTGGAAGCTCGACGGCTACTTCGCTCATGCAAAGCAAGGGAGGAAAGGTATTCTCGACCCCCCCCCAGCTTAACCTTGCGACTATGGAGTCTCTCGCGGCTCGTGATAGCCACTGGCAAGCACGACGGCTCTCCGCCTCGTTCACTGCGCCGGTATGGACGCCTGCGTCAGCCCCGTGCCAACCAAAGACATCCAGCCTTCGCGTCAGCAGTTTAAGTCTGTGTGAGCGAGTTGCTCATGTCTGGCGAGGCCAAGACAGCCTCGCGTCTAGCGCCAATGACTCTGTGTGTGGAACTATGTTACCCGCCTTGGTTGTGGAGCTCTGTTACCCACATTGGTTGTGGAACTGGCGTTACCCGCCTTCGTTATATGGAGCTATGATATCGACCTTGGCTGCAAAGCTGTGCTACCCGCCTTGATGTGTGGAGCTCTGTTACCCACACCGGAAGCGTATACAGCGACTTCCTTATCAGTTATGGTCTGAGTGACCTTGTTTGGAGCTCTGTTACACACGCTCAGAGCACCGAATGTCGGTCTCCTTAAGCGGCTACGCTGCTTGCGGTACTTGTTATACACAGTGTAGACCTACGTTACCCACCTGGTGAATGCCTTACGGCACCACCACTGTCGAAGCGCATACGGCGAGACGACCTTCTGCGTTGGGATCAGCTGGCGTGGCAGACCCGCACACACAAACAAATAGAGTTGGTGTCCACGGACCGAGTCAGAAGAGTCCGGGCCCTGGAGTCCGAGTCGCTAAAAATGACGTCGGCCTGAACGAGGTTCAGACCAGACTTGCGGGGCTAGCGTAACGTGGGACTTCGTTACCAACGTCGTGATGTCTCGTTGACCACATTAGAGGCACTCGAGACCTCGTGTGGTACTGTGTTATTCACACAGGAAGCATGATCAGTGCCTTCCTTTTCAGTTATAGTCTGGGCGAATGCGTGTGGTACTGTTTTACCCACACAGGAAGCGCATTCAGCGCCTTCCTCTTCTGTTAAGGTCTGGGCGACCGTGTGTTTTTTTCTAAGCTACTCACCTGGTTAGCTCTTAAAGGCATAGCCACTGTCGAAGCCTGTACGGCGCGACGACCTTCGGCGTTGGACGCTGTGGAGTGTAGCAGGTTCACACGCCGTGGCATTGCAGCAGTGGTACATGGTCTTGCTGTACGAAGAACCGTCGGCACGCTGACAGCTCCGTGAAACCCCTGCGTCCGGGCGATCTGTATCAGACGTCGCAGATTTTACGGAGGTGAAAACATGACTCACCAATGCTCTGCCATAGACCTGAACTGGTAGGCCCTTCTCAGCCTTGCCGCACCAAAGTCCAGGCTGTGTCTTATGTCCGGCACAGCCATATTGTTCATGGCGAGAACTGCGGGCGACACCGCGGTGCGTGAGCTTATCATTTCCAAACGTTCAGGTCCGTAGAGGACCATTAGTACATCCTTCACCGTACCAAAGGCTAGCCCACCAAGGACCAGCCCACGAACGCCACTCTGACATAAAGTATAGGAGGGTGTCGCTACGCCAAGCGACGTTCCGGCGCCGTATCAGCGCCTTAGAACTCATCAAACCTTCAAGGGGTACCGTACCCCCGTACACCGAGTGTACTACCAGCAGCCCATCACTTCCCTTCACCAGTTTGAGAGAACCAATTCACTTTGGGTGGTGTGCACAGCCTGCACAACCATCACGAAGCCTAAGCGCTCTTCAGTAGGGCATACCGCCTCTCTGGTGATTGGGGAGTCTTCGTCCACGTGGCCGTGGCTGCGCTACCGGACATGGGGTCCACGGACTGTCTTCTTCCTGAGGACTGGCGAGGGACACACACGCTGGTAGTGTCCATCTCCGCCGCATTCATAGCAGCGAGCCAAGCTCTCGGCTGAGCTTAAGTTCATGGGCTGGGCCTCGCTGTACGCACCGGTATCAACGGGCTGTGTGACAGCAGGCGCAACAGCGTCATTGCTGCGATGCTCTGCCTCCCGAGGAGCGCCATCCTCATCATGGCGATGTTCCTCTTCCCGAGGAGTACCAGTCTGCCTGTGGCCGTACTCTTCTTGGAGGGCGATTCGTTTCACCTCCTCCTTAGTTGTCGCTTGCACCCGAAATAGATGGGTGTGAGCAGAACCGACCTTCAGGCCGTGAAAACTGGTCTTCCGGCAGACGTTTCCTGCTAGAGATGTCACCAACGTGCGCATCTCTTGCACGTACTCCTGCTGCTTACATTTCCCTTGCTTACACGCGAGAACGTGAGCGCTGGCAGAACTCGTTGTTTGCCGGTAGGAACGCAGCTCGACGATTTTCACATAGCTGAGCCCAGGATGCAAAGCATCCAGGCGATGTCGTCTCCCTGGTGTATGCCCAGTGCTTGGCACGTCTACCAAGGTTGGACAGGGCAAACGCCACCTGAACTGGCTCGTCCGAGATGAGACCCGCCTTCATGGCGATCTCCACCTCACGGACCCAAAAGTGAAGGTTCTCTCCTTCCTTCCTCTCAAACGCGGGGACCTTCAGTCATACCGGCTTAGGCCTGGTTGCCTGGGGAGCGGCCATCGAGGCCTCCAAGCTCCCGCGGACGTGAGCGATGAGACCACGCTCGTAGGTCTCAAACGCGGTCACGCGTTCTTGTTGCTCGGCAGGCGTCGTAGCCACCAAGCTGCGAAGGACATCTTGTCCAAAGATGCCTTCTATCTTCCGATCAGACTCGTACTGTGAGTCGTTCAAGCGAGGAAACTCGCTTCGGTCCATCATGGCTCAAACGTTGAGCGCACAGAGGATTCAGGTAGTTCAATCTACCCGCGATGATGTTGGATTGACGACGAGTGCTACCAAGTGTGACAGGGTCGCACAGCACCTTGCACAGAGGAAGTGCTTAAGGGTATATACTACCCGAGTGAGCGTTAGCCCACGTGTCCCGGCCTCAGTGGGAACGGTTTGCTACTTAGAGGAGTAGATGTAAGACTGATGTATTTATAAGTAAGGTTAGCTTGGGCTCCATACAAACTATAGGTTACCTATAGTGGAGCTAAGTAATCATGTCCTGACTGGCTGCGAGAGCACCTGGTACCGTGTACCAGGTGTCCACAAGGGTGACGGGTCACTCTTTATGTAACATGGGGCATGCAAGCTTGTATTAAACATTGTCTCATATTTTGATAACATTGAAAGTTGTGACCAAACCACAAAGCTAGATGAGTCGGAGAAACTATCAGGGATATAAGTCACGATATCATAATCGAGAGTCACGAATCGTGACTAATAGTTTATCTCATGATACATATGGGAGAAGTGTGCTGCGTCAGGCTGTGTAAGTGTTTGCGAGAAAATGGATCATACGAATTCATGCAGAAAAACGTGTACAGTAATTGCGCCCTCGACCCAGCTCAGAGTTACGATGTGTAGCGCACTGCATATATACTAGTTGTAGTAGTAGTAAAACTACGTGAACAAGTAGCCACGAGCTATCGACGGGACAAACATGCTGTCAGAACCATTTCCCAATTTATCAGCCCTCAACAACATCCAAGCGACCTGCCTCACAACCATGCGACTTTATCGCGTGCTGGGAATGGCCACGATCCTCCTTTTCGGGCATTCCTCGGCAATATCGAAGAAATCTTCTACCAGTCACCCGCTCAACGGGTGGTACTCTTGCTATGAGTTCACGTTTTCGGGCGAAGGTGATTCCAGTGACCAAAGTGAAGATGCTCAGTGTGCTATCTATACGGCTCCACTGTGCTATCCGGGTGTCTGTGAGGTATCCGAATTTGCAGAGGCTACAGTTGACATTTTCGTGAAACGGATTCCAGCTACGTCTGGAGATGACGAGACGGCCCGCAATGTATGGCTGCTTCAAGGTGGCCCTGGTTACTCCTCAACTGCAAGTACGTAGCCTGTAATTCTGTTTGGTGATGCCCTAACTTGCTCAATTTACTATATTATCGGTGTACTTTTTAGTGGAGGCTAGCATGGTGGAGCTCCACGGGCAATTAGGGGGAACGGTCAACGTGTACACGATGGACCACCGCGGAACCGGACGTAGTACGCTGTTCGACTGCGTTGCTGCACAAATCACAACGACAGGTTCGACGCTGGGCCGTCAAACTGACACATCTGAAGTTCCGACGTGTGCGAAGGATATTCGTATGAAGTATGGGGATCTCGCCTCGTTTTCCACGACGAGCGCTGCTACAGATATTTCCACATTTATCGCCAGGTTTACGAACGGTGCGAGCTCCATTATTTATGGGGTGAGCTACGGAACGGTGCTGGTTGAGCGTTTGATGCACTTAAGCCCGCCAAGTGTGGTTGGATACGTTCTAGATGGCATTGCTACCACTTCAGGAGCCTCGGGTAACGAATTCCAGTACTTCTCCATGTCCGACGCTGACTTTGGCAAAGTGGGCGATCACTTCATGGAACTATGTGCGCTAGACACCACATGCAATACGCATTTCAAGTCAACGAATCTCTCTGAAACACTTCAGCATATTGTAACACGAATGAATAACGACCCCAACTCAACGTGTGCTTCCTTAATGAGCATGTTGGGTGACGCTCCACCATCACTTGAGCTACGATCGACTCTAGGTCTACTCGTGAAGGATTCAACAGCGCGAGTGCTTGTTCCACCGCTGATCTACAGACTTAACCGCTGCGATGCCAACGATGTGGACACCCTGACCCAACTGCTCACCGCTGTAAACACCTTCGAATTGGGTACAAGCCAGGACGATGCCCTCCAATCGACATTGCTGTACTATCTCATCATCTTCTCGGAAATGTGGGAGACGCCAGCTCCTACCAGCTCCGAAATGGATTCGCGATTTTCCCATGCAAGTATGGCGGATGGAGTATATCAATACAATTCGCTGTATTGCGCTTTCTCGAAAGAGAAGTCTCCAGCATGCGACGGGTTAAACGTCAGCAACTACGAAGGCGAAGGAATCATTTACCAGCGTGACCAGTACTGGAACAAGAGCGCTTCAGTACCCACTAAGGCCAGTGGCTGCTCATGAGTGGGAAACTCGATCCGGTGACGCCTAACAAATACGCAGAGTATCTGGTCGATTCTCTTGCCGGCTCGAACAAAGAGCTCGTCACATTCGATTACGCTACCCACGGTACTCTAATGTTCACCCCGTTTAAGGATAAGAGTGGGGTCATTCGAAACTGTGGCATGGAACTACTGGTATCCTATGTCAGCAATAATGGTAACCTCAAGCGTTTGGACCGGTCATGCATGAATGAAATGCCCGCCTTCAATTTGGAGGTGCCAATTGAGTATGCGCAACACTTTTTCGGTACCGAGAACGCGTACGACGGTGTCTACAACGCTAGCTTAGCGCAAGCCGCTTAAACGAGACAACGAAGGTAAGAATTCATAACAAGAAACTGCCATTTAGAAACCATTTTCACTTGGAGAGCTCGAAGCTTTGGGGCCGGTTCAAGTCAAAACAGAAAAACAAATATGGTCCCCGTACAATGAATGTACTGCAATATTACTAACTACACCACCTAGCGCGCCCCACCTTTTATTCGTGACTCGCATCAGCCGGCATCGTTTAAGAATTCAAGCCGCTGCCATGAAATTCCCCACTTCTCTCTTCACTCGAGTGGAATTGCCGAGCGATTTCACCTGTGACAAAGGTCGAACGCTCCCCATCGTCGGAATCTTTGAGCCTCCAGGACGCTCTCGTACGTTAAAGTCAAAGTCTTCTGGTCCTTCCTGCTGCATCTGTCGCAATCTCTCTTGAAATCGCTCCTCTTCTGCAAACTCTCGAATCTTCTCAATCGCATCTGACAGCTTCATACGCTCAGACGGTTCAAAAGCACACATCTTCTCCACCAATTCCCACTCAGCGTCATTACTAAACGCCTTTGGACGAAGCAAGAACTTCCTGCGGGTCACATGAAACTTCACGACTGGGTCTGGTACGTGCTGACCCCACGGCACGTCGCCCGTCACCGCCTCCACAATGCACATACCGAATGAATACACGTCCGAAACCACATTAGGAGCCACAGGGCTGTCCTTGCGGATCACCTCGGGCGCTTTCCATCGAATCGCGCCAACCGTTTTCTCATCTTCGCTCTGCTCGGTCGTCAAGAAGCTCAGTCCGAAATCCGTCAGCATAGCCACACCGTCCCTGCTCACTAAGATCTGGTTACACTTGAGATCTGTATGCACAATGTGTCGTTCATGCAAGAAGTGCAGACCGAGAGCAGCGTCCAACAACTTCCGCCAGACCAGAGATCGTCCCTCTTGTCTTGCGTGGTACAGATAGTCGAGTAATTTGCCATTCTTGGCCTCTTCACACACGAAGAAATACGTCGCGCCTTCGTCACAAGCTCCGAAGAATGGCACGATGTTCGGGTGTCTGGCTTTTTGCCAGATACGCGCTTCTCGATGGAAGGTGCGAGTTTCTTGTTCAGTGGCTACAGTGACCGTCTTGACGACGACGCGAGTACTCAACCACCAGCCTCGGTACACTTTCCCGAACGATCCTGCAGAAAAAGGTTCCTGATCCTTCCGCACCTCGCGACTCGGGATGAACCAATCCGGTTTCGTTAGCCTCGTGGCAACAGTGTTTGATATCCCGCTCGCTTCACTTGTATGAGCGCAAAATTCGCCAGACCTCGTACCTGCAATTGATACGAGCCAATTCAGCTGCTGTTCGCCCCGAGCTGCTGACAATCTCGGCGTCTGCATTGCTGTCCAGTAGCAGCCGAACGATCTCGTCGTGTCCTCTGTAAGCAGCTTTCATCAACGGTGTTTGGATGTCCACATCCACTACGTTCACGTCCGCATGATGCTCCAAAAGCAGCCGGACGATCTCCAAATGCCCTTCTTCGGCAGCGTACATCAGAGCTGTCCGCTGTTCACTTGTTCGTGCATCTACAGTAGCACTTTCCTCAACAAAGAGAGTGACAATACCCCCATAGCCACGCTGAGAAGCCACCGTCAGTGGCGACCACCCCATCACATTGACTGCGTTCACATCAGCTCTATGCTCCAGCAGCAACCGTGCTATCTCGAGACGTCCGTGCAGAACAGCTTCATGGAGCACGAAATCTCCGTCGCTGTCTGCAGTGTTGCTCGTCCCACCTCTAGCCAATAAAAGCCGCACTAGCTCCAGATGACCTTTAAATACTGCGCTTTGCAAGGCCGAGCAATTGTTTCTGCCAGCCAAGTTGACGTCCGCGCCGCAATCTAACAGCAAGCGAGCACACTTGACGCTATCTGCATAACCGACTAAGCGCAGCGCAGTCTCCCCGCTATGAGTCTTGGCGTCTACAGCTGCACCAGCGCTTAACAGCAACTCCACCACCTCCACATACTGACACTGGACTGCCAGCATCAACGGCGTTTTACCGGACGAGTCTGCCAAGTCTACATTCGCGCCGTGTTTCAGTAAAACACGGATCGTTTCTGTCTTTCCGAAGAGCGCTGCCATCATGACGGCAGACGACCCATCGTCCAACGTGGCGTCAACGGCAGCTCCATACTCAATCAGAACCTCGATAACTTCGGGGTGCAGCCGTGCTGAGAATTGTCAATCCGCCAAAAAACAAAACGTTCTTGACACGTCAGCCCCTTTCTTCAATAGGAGACGTACAAGCTCTACAAGACCGCTGCCAGCAGCAGCTTCGAGAGCAGAAATTCTTTTTTCTTGTAGATTGTCAACGACTGCTCCATTGTCGAGCAATAGACGAGCAATGTCCACATAGCCTAGAGAACAGCTCGCGGCAAGAGGCATGCTGCCGTCAGGGGTCAAGTGGTCAATGTCCGCTCCGTTTTCTAATACAAGACGCACACATTCGATATGGTCGTTTAGTGCAGCGTAGTTGAGAGCAGTGTACCCGTCGTTATCGGTCTTGTCAACGCTGGCTCCCTTCTCTATCAGCAGACGCGCTGTCTCGACGTGACCGGATGATACTGCAGCAATGAGCGGTGTTGATCCCTCGCTATCTGCTGCATTAATCATAGCTCCTCTCTTTAGGAGAAGACGTGCCACCTCCACATGGCCGTGTTCAGCAGCGTATATCAGTGCCGTAGCACCTTTGCAGCTTTTAAAATCGACCTCAGCTCCGTTTATCAACAGCAGACCCACTGTCTCAGTGTATCCTCTCTCTGCAGCCAGAATCAAAGGCGTGGATCCTAGATGCGCCGCCATGTTGACGTCAGCTCCTCTCCTTAACAACTGTCGGACAGCATCTACATTGCCTTTGATAGAGGCATACATGAGCGCTGTGTATGTAGTCAGTTGGGGTTTTCTTCTTGATGTCGGACCCACCATCTAGCAAGACGCCAACAACTTCGTCATAGCCATACCCAGCAGCCTGCATTAAAGGTGTCAATCCCTCCTCTGCAGCTACATCTACGACAGCTCCCTCCTCCAATAGAAGCTTAACTACGTCCAAATGTCCGTTTGTAGCAGCCCACGTAAGCGCAGTACCGCCAGTATCATTTGTGGCATGGATATCGGCTCCTTGGTCCAGTAAGAGCCTCACAACATCCACTTGACCACGTAAAGCAGCATACAGAAGTGGCGTGTACCCGTCGTTGGTGGCCAAGTCTACAGTAGCCCCCTGTTCCACTAGAAGCTCAACTACTTTAACGTAGCCACATTCTGCAGCCCACAAAAGAGCAGTAGACCCAAATTGGTTGGTTCGGTTAATGTCTGCCCCGTGCTGTAGTAGCATCTGCACGACTTTAAGTTGCCCACTTTTGGCTGCACAGATCAACGCGGTGTTCCCATCTTTACCCTTTTGCTCAACGTCGTCCTTATTTTCAAATAGGCTTTGGACAATCTCCACATGGCCCTCAGTAGCTGCGATGATCAGTGGAGTGTCTCCTTCTGGGTCGGATTTATTGATATCTGCCCCCTTTTCCACTAAAAGCTGGACGAGTTGCGTGTGGCTTATACGGTACTCGGAAAGGAGAGCGGTGAGACGATGGACGTCGATGCAGTTGATCTTGGTCGTGTCGGCGTCTTCATCACTAGCAGCAGCGACCCGAGACTTGAGAGACGCGGTGGTGGTCATGCTTGCTATGGAGCTCAAATCTTTACCGCCTTCAACAACGAAGAACAACATTTTTTTTTTTGTACCCATCAGTACTTATCCTGTCCTTATCCTCCTTTCGACAGCATAAAATGACCTTATCCTACTTTCTACAGTATATAATGACATTTTTGTAAAGGAAGCGTACGCTGTGATTGGCCAAAACCGAACCTTGTGAGCTCAATTATCTGCCAATCCCACCAAACATTCTCAAGCTGTAGTACAGATACGCGGACCAGAATTGAGAAGTACGGCCATTTAACCAGCTCCCCTGTCCCTGCATCGTGTTCACGGCGCTAACTGAAGCGTGCTTACTACTCATACACATGCATGCTCCCAAAGGGTCGTACTGGAATCGGTTGCGGTGGCTTCTGCGGTTTCAGAGCCCCGGGATTCTCGAACTGCATCCGTGGGGTCTCCTGGCTGCTCTACTGCGATCTCCCAGTCGGCTGTTAGACGGCGTGACGGCCTCACATCATCGATATTTAGACCGCGCTGCGGCTGCAGTGACGCAGAACCCAGTGCTGTTCCCGAATGGGTTTTTCTCGGATGGGTGGGGAGATCTCAACACCCCAAAACGAATCCGAGAACTACTACAGAGTCGACGCATGAGTGACGTTGTGTCACTAAGAGACGGAGAACCGAATTGGAGCAGCGTCAGGAAGCTGTCGGTGGCTAAAGTGGCGTTGCGAGAGGGCAAATTCAGCAGCTCATTGGACAATGCGCAACAGTTGCTACCCGCAGAGAGTCAGGACGCTTTTTGTGAACTAGTGACGCCGCTGGAGTGGGAACGAGAAGATCAGCGTATTCCACAAGGGAGACAGGACCGACCTCTTGTGGGTAAGTGGATTTCTAAATTTTATCGAAAGAACAGTGGTGAATAACCATGTGGAGTGACGTAGTGCTTCTACCGGGGACGGGGGAGCACGGATTTCTACATCGGAGAGCGTCCATTGCTATCCCACTAGCCAAAAGGGGAGTAGCCACTTTGGTACGTTGAATTAACAAGGTTTATTATCATTGAAGTACTAATTATTGGACACTTGCTGCAGATTCTGGAAGGACCTTTTTACGGGAAGCGCAAACCATCGAAACAGAAGGGATCCAAGCTACGCAGGTACGCTCTGCCCGTTTTTTTGTGTCGTCTAAGGTACTGAGTAATTTTTTAATGGGTCTGGTGTTTCACAGGGTAAGCGACTTGCCCATCCTAGGTCAAGCAACCATCGAGGAGGCCAAGTCGTTGCTGGAACACTTTCGAGATTGCCACGGGTACTCGCAATTAGTAGTTGCAGGCAGTAGCATGGGTGGACTACATGCTGCTATGGTCGCATCAGTGTTTCCTGGAGATGTGGGAGCTACGGCCTGGTTGGCGCCACCCTCCGCTGTGCCTGTGTTCGCAGATGGATTGCTGTCTGGATCTTGCAACTGGCGATCGCTATACAAGCAGCACGAACTTCAAATGCTTGATAAAATGCTGACCGGTCATGCAGCTGCTGAATCTTACGAAAAGCTGCTCGGTGCTGCAGTTGACGACGAAAAAGAACGAGCTGAATGCTCTGAATTGGAGCTGGATCCGGTCCAAGAAGCCAAGAAGCGCATGAGACTCTTCCTCTCGATCACCGATATTGACAATTTCTTACCTCCACGAAAATCCGATGCTGTTGTGTTCGTGTATGGAACTGAAGACGAATATATCGGCTTCACTGAACCGCAGTGGCAGGTAGTGTGCATCCATTTTCACGCGCATTCTTGCATTTAGAAGTTCTTACGGCTCGGTTATTTTTTTTTAATATTTTTCAGCGTATGCGTGAGCAGTGGAGACCAGCTCACATTAGAACTATCAAAACGGGTCATGTCAGTGGGATTTTACTGGAGCAAGAAGCCTACCGCAAGACGATATTGGAGGTTGTGGATCTTTTGAAGAAGCGAGAGACAACAGCAGACCTATCGTCAGGAATCGCTGTTGGATCTGCGTGAAATGTTCTTTATAAATATTTCAACAGATCAGAAAATATCTGCATCGTGCACAGCTACCGTGACCGAATGAAGATCAGGTGCTTGTGATCAACTATCGCATTCAGCTACTGTGACACTGTTACTAGCATACTGTGCTTGTATCTATTACATGTATACATGTAGTACACTGGAAAGTGTACTGCCGACCTGTCTCTGTTGAGTGTTGTACGAATGTTATCCCAGGTTACGCTTACTAGCTTAAAAAAAGTGCTTTCGCTAAAGATAGCTATTTCAGATAATATTTACCTGGAAAACAGGCTTTAGTACAAATCGCAAAAGCTAAGCGTCTTTTGCGTACCGGTATTCGAAGTTAAATATCCGAGAGGATATACTGGGGAATTCCGAAGTATGAGGGATGGACAGCCCCAGCGGATTAATGTAACGGTACTTATGAGTTTGTAGGTTTGGCGCCGTCTCAAATAAACTTGATTTTTGTAAAGCATGAGAGTGTTTACTACACTCCGACCCGAATTAATCTCTGCAGGACTTCGTACCAAATCACTACCAGTAAAACGATTGCGATACTAAGGCAAAACCACAACTCTCCTGGTTTTAATTACAGAAGTAGGAAGTTCCATAATGCCAAATAACTCAATCGTTTGTTTATTGAACTCTTCTTCTGCGCGACTTTCACAGCTAACACAAGTCAAAATTGTCTTTCTTGCCGTCGTCGTCATCGTCTCCCTCTTCATCGCTTTCGTCTTCTTCCTCGCCGTGCCCAGCTCCACCTACCGCCTTCCTCATGCCTCTCACTGTCTTCGAAGTCCTCGACATCGGCGACGATCTTGACGTTCGTAAGAGGCGATTCTGAGTATCTCCATCAAGCGGTTGAAAAAGCTGTGGTGATCCTATGTGCAAGACGCCAGCTTGATTGTCGGTCACAGCGGCAGATATCGCGATTCCGTTTCCAAGGAGGGCAGCTGCAGCAGAAACCACGAGAACAAAAGGTAGGCGCATATTTTTGTTGCTGGAAGTGGGTGTTGCAGCGGAGAAAGTAAACTGAGGAATAGCAATGCACATGCTTGGGCACGATCGGCAAATCGACCGAGAATATTATCCTACACGAAGGGCGAATTTTTAGGACGATGGGCACACAAATACATGTATCTAAATTTTTAAACCATTTGTGTATTGGTTATTTTCAATCTGGCATCTTAAGTTGATATTTACAAAACAAACCTGTTTTGTTGATCATTCTCTTATTAATAGGCACAGCTGGCCGACCACGTAATTTGTAGATCGGAAAATATCCCGTTAAACCACGTGCTTCGGGCTGAGTTCGCAGAACATCTCGTACCTGCTGAAGTATTGGCCTTCCGAGAATGTGCTACACCGTGGCTACGTATCTCTTGCATAGGCTAGTCGTTGACGGCAATTTAGCTGCGAACGAGCAGGTATTGGAAAGCTCAGCTCAACAAGTGTCTCGTTAGTTAACAAAAAATCGAAGTTACGGTATTGTACCGATACTATATTGTCCGCTAAAAATTTCTTTTCAGAATAACAACGGATGCTATTCAATTATGCCTGCCGTTACTTGACGGAAGCTCTAGTTTATGTCGCAGTTTCATATAACATGTGCTACCTAATTCGTAGGCTTACTCAAGAACTACCCGACGCATAAAAAAAACAGCTGGACCTCGTCAGCTTCTAAACAAGTACTGTACATTGTATACAGTGTACGCCCTACTGACTTTAAACTGACAATGACGCGTTCGTAATCTACAAAGTTGGGCATAATCCGCGTGACTTGCTCCTTGGAGTGATCCAATGGAGACTATGTTTTATAGTACTAACGCTATAATTGACAGTTGAAGGCTTACAGTAGTTAATGTGGTGGTGTACTTCTCCGTGCTCTTATTTTTTAACTCACCCTCCTCCACTAAAGTCTCTCATTACTCAAGCACCATGCGCAAGACGTTTCTCCTTCTGATTGTTACCCTCCTCGGTAACGGAAGTACCATATCTGCAACCACGACCGGAAACCAAGCTGCCATCTCTACCCTGGAATCGCCAGTTCTGCTCACTCACGATACTCAAAAGCGTTTTCTGCGGAGCCACAGCGAAGCGGAAGAAGGCAGTGAAGAAGACGAATTTGGAAACGCTGAAGAGAGAAAAGTAGGGGCGAACCTTTTCGCGGATTCGAAGCTCGCGCAAATGTTGAACTCTCGTAAAACGTTCCCGAGGTTTGCGAGGTGGAAACGCGAAGGGTTCATCCCCAGCACTCTTAGAACGAAACTAGAGAAACTTGGTCTCTGGACAAAATACAGTGGCCTCCACACGATGTACTCAAACAACTACTACGTACACCATCGAGAAGGCCAAACCGTCAAAGTACGCGTAGATCTGGCGATAATCCACTCGAGGAGAAATACAAATGGAGGGTCTTAATCGATTGTTAAGTATTCACGTAGTTTTTGACCTATTCTACAAGCAGGGATCATTAAACAGTTCTCCACACAGCTTCATGAATGTAGATAGCTTGCTAATAATTCAAAAGTATTTGACATCTCAGCATTCTTTGTACCATGTTGGTATGAAGTTCACTCGTGAGGACAGCACACGATGGTATCTTACTTCGTGCTCATGACAATGCGAAGCTCGCCACGTGAAAGGTTCTGAAGCCACATGATCTCTTCGATGTGGCGTTCTCCATGGAAATAAACGCATACTGAAGCAGGTCATAAACTCCCCATCTTCACCGTCACAGCATCCATTAGAGTTGAAGACAATTTCACACCCGTTTAGCACCACATGTGCGCTCCCGACTCTTCCAGTACATGGAATACTCGCTTGAGGTCATTATTCGCTAGTACACTTTTCCCTAACGAAACACCGATTAGCGTTTGCGACCACCGTCAACGATCCGCCTTCCCGTTAAGATGCAGGTGCATCAGCACTCGATGCACTATTAGCTTCCGCGTTACTCGTAAAACTACTGCCACTGCTTGTTCGTGTGGCCACCGCTGCACTTGGAGCATCTCCACCCTGTAAACAGTAGTGGCTGCGGCAAATGCGGTAACTAACTTTTGCCAATTAAAATATCTATCTTAGAAAGATGAATACTAATCTATTAGAAATGAATTTTCTTTAATTTCGAAAAAAAATAAACTACTTCATCCCCTGTTTTCTAAAAGGGTTGGGTTTGTGAAACGTCTGAGATACGGTGACTGCGTAATTTATGCTGCACATGTTTGTGTCATGTACAAACATGGGCAATCATATTCACAGTTCGGCTTAAGAATGGCACCACAATCGCTGCATCGGAAGCGTGAGTCACCATTATATGGTATGGCCAAGCTACTTGTTGTCATGGCCTAAGTCATGCAGCCATGCCAGAGTATTCACACAACTAAAAAAAATAACATGCATGACATGGAGAAGAAGTGAAAGGTGCGGCTATTCAGCAACAGTCTCCACTCTTCGCGTCGCTAAAGTCCACAATTGTTTTCAGAAGATCCTATAGCCGGCGCAACAGCCCTGTCTCCGTATAGTCTCTTCATGCCGGCTACTGATAGCATTCCCCGTGTGCTGAAGGCAAAATATCCAGGGACGGAAAATTTCGCTACAGAGGTGTAGCGAAGCACGATCTGGTGTGTGACGGGGTCACGCCGCATCTTGCACAGAGGAAGTGGTTAAGGGCATATACTACCTGAGTGAACGTTAGCTCACGTGTTCCCGGCCTCAAAGGGAACGGTTTGCTACTTAGAAGAGTAGATGTAAGATGGATGAATTTGTAAGTAAGCTAAGCTTGGGCTCTTTACAAACTGGAGCTTACCTATAGTGGAGCTATGTAGTCATGCTCTGACTGGCTCCTAGAGCACCTGGTACCGTGTGCCAGGTGTCCACAAGACTCTTTTTTTAGCCTGGGACACACTGGACTGTACCCGTTACATACTTCCCCACTTTACTGAGAATCGCCTGATTCTCCAATCACAACTGATTCTCCAATCAGAAGTGAGAGAATTAAAACACCCAAAGGTGAATTCTCACACTGAGTAGCCACGAGACTGGCTCGGCTGTCATTCACACCCACAGTGCCTTTTCTTCCTTAAGCTCACTGGGATTTGCATCCCTATGCTCACAACTGTGTTGGCCGCAAAGACTACGCTCAGAGCTGCCTTAGCTCCTGCGCTGGCCCGCGTACGGTGCTTTGGCACAGGATGCAATGGCATCCAAACGTGTGACATTCGCCCACTGCTCGCACCAGAGGGCACGACAGTCCTCGCGAACGCGGCCGGAGCATGGTGTCTCGTCGCGAGGGACGACCCCGAGAAGGGCAACACCTGCACCAGCACTAGGGGGAGCTCTCAGCTCACCTGGGGCCATTCCTTTGTCTCCCGCAAGGATGGATCCTTGCGGGCGGAGCTTTTGCCTCGCTCTCTTCGTGTCTTGGCCGTCATTCCAACGGCGCGTAGGTGTCCTTCATCGACACCGTGTACCGTGATGGTACTCAGTCGAGATGCAGGTGTCTCCCATCGACACCATGTACCTTCCGCTACTAACCTTTGGTGCGACACGCCCACCACAAGGTTGCCATGTTTGGCGGCAACAGCTTCTGCGGTGCTGTCGCCTGAACTGATTCATGGCCAGTGCTCGCATCATGCACGATGCATGTGCAAGCACAGTGTACATGTCCATGGGCCCGTACACGAGAAACGCTGTGTACGACAAGTACCACAGATACCAGAAGTGCACCGTCATGTTTGTCATGCACGACGAGTTCATTACGCGGAACTCCCGACAGGCCGCTCCACAGCAGCCTGTGCCGATGCACGGTACGTGCGCTGACTCACAGCGCATACGCTCAAAACAACATCGGGTCGTGGTATGGCGCAGACCATTTGCACCCATGCCAGTGTCTGTCATAGACACCATGTACCTTGATGGTACTCGACCGTGGTGGGGTGTATCTCACCACCATGTCACTGCGGCGTTGGTGTCTGGCATTGACACCGAGTACCCATGCGGTACCGAACCATGGTGAGGCAAGCAGCCATCACCACGGTGTGATGCTCGGCGCGGCACCAGTTACGACTGCGTGCGTTGCCTCGACCACCACCTCGTCAGTTGTGTGTGCACTCATGCACCACACTTGGGTTATAGGGTCCACGGTCCATTCTACCCGCCGCGTTGCGTATATTACGTACTACAACCGCTTTGTCAGCGGGTGAGACTTTTCGTTCACCCTGCTCGACATTCATGACCAAGGGATCTACGCGGTGATTGCACCACGTCCATGCTTTGCCTCGTGTGTGGTTGATTGCAACACAACACTGCTAATTCGCTCAGCGATTCCGAGGCAACTAGCGCCAGTGGATTCCGTCGCTACGCTGGCTTGTTTGGCTCGAGCTATCGCAGCTCTAGCCCGTCTGTATGCCTCTAGCCTGCGGTCGATGTAAATCGACGCCTGTTTCCGTAAGAAGCTTGGTGTTACCTCAAGACCAGGGACGAAATGTATTTCTGAGCCTCTCTCTCACTTAAACTTGGGATTATTGAGTCTCTCGTGGCTTGTGATAGCCACTGGAAGCACGACGGCTACTTCGCTCATGCAAAGCAAGGGAGGAAAGATATTCCCGACCCCATCCCCACTTAACCTTGAGACTATAGAGTCTCTCGCGGCTCGTGATAGCCACTGGCAAGCACGACGGCTCTCCGCCTCGTTCACTGCGCTGGTATGAACGCCTGCGTCAGCCGTGCCAACCAAAGACATCCAGCCTTTGCGTCAGCAGTTTAAGTCTGTGTGACTCAACGTCGAGCGAGCTGCTCATGTCTGGCGAGGCCAAGACAGCCTCGCGTCTAGCGCCAATGACTCTGTGTATGATACTATGTTACCCGCCTTGGTTGTGGAACTCTGTTACCCACATTGGTTGCGGAACTGGCGTTACCCGCCTTCGTTGTATGGAACTATGATATCCACCTTGGTTGCAGCGCTGTGCTACCCGCCTTGATGTGTGGAGCTATGTTACCCACACCGGAAGCGCATACAGCGACTTCCTTATCAGTTATGGTCTGAGTGACCTTGCGTGGAACTCTGCTACCCACGCTCGGAGCACCGAATGTCGGTCTCCTTAAGCAGTTTCGATGCTTGCGGAACTTGTTATCCGCAATGTGGACCTATGTTTCTCACCTGGTGAATACCCTTCGGCACCACCACTGTCGAAGCCCGTACAGCGCGAGGAACTTCGGCGTTGGACGCTGCAGGTGTAGCAGGTCACACGCCGGGCAAAAGATTCATACCAGTGGCGTTACAGCGGAACATGTTCTTGTTGTACGAAACGCTGTCGGCGCTGACAGCTCCGTGACGCTTCTGCGTCCGGGCGGTCTGTATTAGACGCCCAAGTCATGACGGAGGTGGGAACATGACTCAGCAATGCTCCGTCATATGCTTGGACGGGCAGGTCCTTCCAAGCCTTGCCACACGAAAGTCCGGGCTGTGCCTTATGTTCGGCACAGCCATGTTGTTTATGGCGAGAACTGCGAGCGACACCGCGGTGCGTGAGTTCATTGAGCCCCAATGTTCAGGTCCGTTAAGGACCGTTGATACTTCCTTCACCGTACCAAAGAGCAGTCCCCTAAGATCAACCCACGACCGGCAGTCTGCCAAAGAGTGCAGTCGGATGTCGCTACGCCAAGCGACGTTCCGGCGACGTATCAGCGCCCCAGAACTCATCAAACGTTCGAAGGGTACCGTACACCCGTACACCGAGTGTACTACCAGCAGCCCATCAGTGCCCTTCACTGGTTTGAGAGTACCACGTCTTTTTGGGCTAAGCCACTTGGTGTGCACAGCCTGCGCACCCATCACAAAGGCTTCGCGCTCTTCAATAGAGAATACCGCATCTACAGGTGGCCGGGGAGTCTTCAACCACCGGTCCATGGCCTACGCCATCGGACCTTGGGCTCACGGGCTGGCTTCTTCCCGAGGACTGGCGAGGACATACCCGCTGGTAGTGTACATGTCCGCCGCATCCGTAGCAGCGAACGAAGCTCTCGGCTGAGCTTAAGGCCTTGGTCCCGGGCTCGCTGTGCACACTAGTATCAACGGGCTGCGTAGCAGCAGGAGCAATAGCGTCATTGCTGCGATGCCCGCCTCACGAGGAACGCCATCCTTATCGTGGCGATGTTCCTCTCCCCGAGAAGTACCAGCCTGCTTGTGGTTGTACCCTTCTTGAAGGGCGATTCGAACCTCCTCCTCCATAGCTGTCGCTAGCACCCGAAATAGCTGGGTGCGAGCAGGACTCACCTTCAGGCTGTTCATGAAGACTGTTGTCTTGATGTCTTCAGGCAGAGGATACCTGCCAGAGAATCCACCAACGTGCGCATCTCTTACACGTACGCCTGCAGCTCACGTTTACCTTGCTTACACGCGAGAAAGCGTGAGCGCTGGC